ATGTTGATTGTGTGAGATGATGCAGAACATATTTCTTATGTCGAGAAGCAACTCGGTCAGCAATTTCGGATTTTCGATTTGAGTACTCTTGGCTACTTTTTGGGCATCGAGGTGATGCCTAATGCCTCGGGCTATTACCTTTCTCAATCCAAATAGATACAAGACCTTTTTGTTCGTTCTGGTATGACTGGTAATCGGACGACGACATCTTCACTTACAACTTCATCCAACTGGTAGTACGCCTGTTGAGGATTCTTCTAGTGGTAGTACGCTTGTTGAGGATTCTTCTCTCTATGACATTGCTCACATTATTCATATATTGAGTCAGTTTGTGAGTGCTACTTCTGTTCGTTTTGAGCATTTGTTTCGTGTGCTACGGTTCTTAAGGGAAGCATCATCTTATCGTTTGTTGTATGCTCGTGATAGTCCGTTTCAGCTCCATGCTTACTCAAATTCTACTTGTGCGAGTAGTCCAGCAGATTGTCATTTTGTCTCATTGCATCTTTCTTGGTTCTTCTCTTCTTACATGGATGTCCGAGAAGCAGACAATCACATCTCAGTCTAACATAGAATCAGAACTTTTAGCACTTGCTACTACCACTTTAAAAATTATATGGGTTATTCGTCGATTATGGTATTCCATGTGATGCTCTTACACCTATTCTTTGTGATAATGCTGGAGCCATCCAGATTACCATAGATTCTCTGAAGCACAAAACACATTGGAGTCGATACTTCCTTTACCCGGTCTCATTGTCATCACAAAACAATTGTCTTTAGTATATTCCCTCGGAGCTGCAAGTAGTTGATTTCTTCACCAAAGCACAAACTACAGAGCAATATCAAAGCATGCACCATGATATATCGAATCATTGAGCCCATTGGTCGAGCTACCTGACGGCACCTTCAAACCTAGTCTTCTTTCATAAATCATAGGCCAAGGAAAGCACAAGACATATTTCATAGCTACACTTGACAGAGGTTGGGAAAAGGCTATCAGACATCAATCAAATGAACAACAAAGCAACCAACTCCTCCAAAAGGCCATTCATGTTCCTTTTGTTCCAAGAAAGTCTTTCTAGTTTGCGTCGTTTAATCATTGATCCGCAAATTTCTACAATAAATTGGTGTTCAATCTGAAAAAAAAAAAAAAAAAGAGAGAGAGAAAGTAATCACATTAGTTGGCCCGCCGATTCTAGGGTTCGATCCAGCCATGAAATGATCCATAACAAACGAAGCAAAAACATATTCTTTCTCCCCACTTCTCATTTTGTTGATTGAAAGAGAATCAATTGCTTCACTTGCTCAACTAATGCTTCGGATCCTCCGCCTCCACCTGAACTCCACCTGAACTCCACCTTGAGTTTGAAGGAGTTGTTAACTATATTACAAGCCCAACCCATATACTAAAGCCCTAATATAGATATGGGCATCTCCATACGTGAATGTATCATTTTAACCAAAACCCGAAGGTTCGTTACATTAACATCTCAAACATAGACAATGTATGTAAAAGATAAAAGGTATATTGCTCTGGGAGCTAAAATAAAAACTGCATATACGCGAACCATCCTAATGTGGCAGCAGTATAACAAGATAAATTTGTCTTGTTGAGTATGAACAGATAAGTTATGTAGCTTTGTCTGTGCTTGTAACTATTTCATTCGAAAAATAAGAGTTCGAAAAGATTTCAGCTTACTAGCTGAACAAATCATTTAGATAAAAAAACTAATAGCAATATAATCTATATATAACTCTCTTCAAGGGAGAGTTGTTTCTTGAAAAGATTGAATTGCCAAAAATGCCCTTCACTATAAATAATTTCCAAGGTCGCTATTGTAATTTTATCACTAATGTAGGGAGTTATAATTATTAATTATCATTTTTGAATAAAATTTTGTTCACATTTCAATAAAAATAAATTGAAAAATAGTAGTATCAAGTATTATACGTTTAAAAATGATAGAAACTAGAGTATAATCCTCCTATATAACTAATATAAAAATATTTATATATTTAGTAAAAGAACATATAAGCGAACAATAGAAAGTGCTTTTATAAATTTTGAATTATTACAAAAATATTGTTAATCATATTATTCGATTTATTGCATATTATTAAGTTTAATAGATAACAAATTAATAACCTTATTCTTTGTGGTTAATAAAGTTACTTTTGCTTTTATTATTTTTTTGAGACAACTGAAATTTTAGAAGATTTTGAATAATATCACCTTTCAGTAATACACATAGTATAAGTATTTTTCCAAACTAATATGTGTTGGATTTAATTATCATTTATTTTTATTTTAGTACGAACAAAAAAATAAAATTAACATTGAAAATAAAACAAAATAACAAATATTCGACGAAATCATAAATTTATTATATACGTCTAATTCTTACAAAATAGTTATCAACAAAATCATTTAAATGAAAATAAATAATATGTTACTTTACATTTGATGTTATAGTTGGTGTTATTTGTAACATTGCTCATGCCATATTCATTCAAAAATTGTTACTGCTCACTTCTTGAAAGCGAAAAAAGTACAAAAGAAAAAATAACCATCATTAAAAATATAATAATACCTGCGGCCTTAACATGATGCAAATTAGGAAAGCTTAAGATACTACATTGATAGAAATTATATCAACAAGGTGCATCATTCCATTCGCCAAAGAGTTCAAATAAGATCCAGGTTTATTGTTTGAACCAATGTGCATTATCATGTTAAGATAAAAATATTACATAAAAGAACCATTAATTTATGATTCATTGAACTCTTTCTAATGTTTGAGATAGTCTTGAATTTCCATATAAAATGTAGTCAATATGTAATAATGTTCGATAAACTTATTGGTTGTTTATATTTTGTTACATATATTAAGTATCTTCACTCATGTTATTGTTCACTAATATTTTCTAAATAAACTTCTATATTTTATGTCTTTACATTTGTGGGCTAAAAAAGTATCATTATAACAACACAACAGTCGAAAAATAAGCAAAAGAAAATATCCAAACAATGTTAATTAGCTTTGAGTTAAAATACATTCAACATATATTGGCATTAAAAATAGATTTATATCGTGCGTATTATTAAAGGTGAGCAAAAGTATTATTATTCGGAATCTTTTTTCTTAATAAGTTGGACATAAAAAAAAATAAAAATAAAAAAAAAAACATTTATATTAATAGAATAAATATTTTTTACTCAAGAAAATCATTCAGGTAGGAAGCTTGTTTAAGCAAAAGGCGATCCACTATCGGTTTTAGTCTTCTTGATCTATCAAGTCAAGAGGGCGAGGCTCCTAGCAATGGGAGGAAGGGGAGTGGGTAAGCAGGCCCCTTTTGGCCAATCTTCCATGAATAGGAGTAGCGCGCGCCCCTGTAGTATATGTCGTGTACGGAAAGATCAATCCTCAGGTCCGGGCTTTCAAGTAAGAGGGTGTCGTGAGTTAAGAGCGGAAAGATCAGCCTTCTCATAGAAGATTGACAAGTACTTTCGATACCGAGGCATTTCTAGTCCGACGGAAGTACGAAGGTGAGAACGGCTAGGCTTTGTGGCGACCCATGCTCCTATGATAGATAAACTTCTGGTCTTGCCTGGCCACCCATTTCGTATAATATTCGTCCCGGTTTAACAACAGCTACCCAATATTCAGGGTTTCCCTAATTCCCCTATCTTTAGCTATGCCGATCGGAAAGGGCAGCATTTACCGGCCGCTTTCTCAACCTTACGTGTAAAAGATGCTATTTTTCTGGCTTTGGTTGCGAGAATCAATCTCATATCGGGAAATCGATCCCCAAATGTTGGATTGCAAAATCTACGTTCTTCACCCAACGAACGAAGCGAAGTGAAGGAAAAGACGTTGCCTCAAGGCGAACGGGGAAAGGGGACGGAAAGGGGCAAGACCACTCCTTTCAGTCGAGACTCACTTTGCTCTCCTCACAATCATCTGACTCAACAACTCCATCTTACACTGATCTGAGGTGACCGGCCCTATTTCTTCGAGGGAACCTGTAAGTTTCTCAATCGAAGGAAGAGAACGGAGACGTATCTTACTTTGAGGATGATGATTATTTTGAGGATGATGATTATTTTGAGGATGATGATAATTTTGATTTGCCGTGGGAGAGCATCCTTTTTAGTCCTTTGCACAAGATTTTTGCTAGGGAATCGTATTGAATAAAAACAACCTAATCTTTCGAATCCTTGTTTGGGAGTTGATAAATTATACGTCCTTTGGTTAAATCATAACGACTTCCTTCAATTTTTACTTTATCTCCCGACAGTATCCGGATAAAGCTACGTCGGATTTTTCCGGAAATATAACCTAGAATCACATCTTCTGAACTCGGAACATGCCGTTGCGAAGCGATTCAGTAATCCGTTCAAGAAGTCAGTCTTCGTCTTCTATGGGCTGGCGGAAATAGCTTTGAAATAAAAAATTTACATTTGTGTATAATGCATGATTATTTTTTGGCTAAAAGTCATGCACACAAATATATCAAAGATAAGTAAGAGAAAATACCCAAATGACGTTATTAGCATGGAAGTAACAATTAAATCTAATCACTACGAGCAACCGTGACAAAGGATGACAAAGGAAGGAAGATAAAAAAAATTACAAAATAATGACAACGATCATCATGATTTTAAACAATGCTCAAAACAACATTAGTTAACAAATGATAGATAAATGAGACTTCATTAGCAATCAAAAATACTTAAAATTTGATTGATTTCATTTTTAGATTTTTAACAAAGATTTATTTATTTTTATCTAATTATAACTTTTAATTAATACCATTAAAGATTATGTTTCAGTGCGAATACATTTATATAATTTATTATATATTTATTTCCTCTTTTATTAAACTAAAAGAAAATTTTGAATTTTAAGCATAATTTATATAATAATATACCTTTTAAATCCTGTGAAAATATTACTAATCAGGTGCGCTGCATGTGCAAGGAAAGATGATAAGCTCACCTCAGTTCTGGAAGGATACTGAAAGGATACATCCACAAATTCAACTTGTCCCATCAACGTATGCAACTTTGACCCTGCAGAATATTAAATTATGTATCAATGTTCAACCCAATCAAGCTGTGAGAATTCGACAAGGTTAAGTTGGAAAACGTGCAGTTTCTTGAACCATTGGACAAGAAAAACAAAAAACAAAAAAATCAGATTTATCAAGACATTGTTGCATTTTTCCAAACAGAAACTGTTCTGTGCTGACGACTTCACAAATAAAAATAAACTTCCTGGGTATACTGTGACGCTGTCATTGAATGCAAGGGCCATCCCCAAGACCACATTCCAGATAAATACAAATGGAAGGCAGAAAGAAAAGTAACCTTAATAACTAATCAAATAGGTCTCTCTCTTTGATTGTATGATCCTCTCCTTAGTAATGGGTCAAAAAATAAATAAATTATTGTCGCGTCAGAAGACCAATATTCCCAAGCAAACCTATAATGACTGTGTAATAGAAATGAGAAGACAACTAAAGAGAACCCTCATGCTCTCTCTAACTGCAATAAATCATGATGATCCAAACAAATAGGGGCCTAAAACCAAAATGAAATATGGAGACTAAAATTGTTATAATATGGCTCAAATCTCCAATCCATAGGCATTGATTTTGTTGGCAATGGGCCCTAAGAATTTCAGGTATTAAAATGTTCAGCAGAGAACATGCAATCGAGAAATAACATATTGATCTTTAGTTACGAAAAAGTGCATGCCTTTTGCAGTAAACTGGTCACTGGGTGGAAGATCAATAAGGTGAAAGACTTTTTCACTTGCTCCAATTGACTGCATCAATGATGATAAATTATCCCCAACCGACCATGTTGAATAGATTAGCCATTCGCTGTACAAAATGAACTTAGTAAGTTGCTCGGCTGTTATATGTCCACTCAAAATAGACATTCCTCCTATCAGCACAGCAATAACCTGCAAGAATTTATGTTTTAAGTTACAAACATCTCGATTCTAGATAATCAAGCAAATATTTCAGTTAGATCTACAAAGAAGAGACCTAATGAACCAATTTGAAATAGACAATGTGATGTATTATATATTGAAATACAAATCTAAACTTAGATGCCACTTCTTGATGATCAACTAATGATATTGAATACCTAGTAAGAAAAGGCCCCATCATCTAGAATAGTGAAAACTAGAACTTGGAATGGGAATGGTATGAAATGTTGCATACAAAATATCATAAACCTAAGTTCATAAATGACATTCAGAGGTCGCAAGGTACTTTTCATGCATTTCTTCCAAGTTTAGTGAAAAGCCGGAACATGTATGAAGCTCATGAGAAACATAGAAAAACAAATTTAAAGAAAAATTAAATGTTCAGACAATACCATAAACCCAAGTTCCTAAACGACATTTAGAGGTTGCTTGCAAAGTTACCTCTCATTCATGTATTCCAAGTTCAGAGAAACGTCAGAACACGTATGAAGCTGATGATGAACATACAAAAATAAATGTAAAAAGAATTTTTCAGAGACAATCACCATAAAAAACTAAGTTCCTTTTAAAAATAAAAGGAAGAAAGAAAGAAAGAAAAGGTAAAGAGATAACAATAAAACTAGCTTGAGAAGGACAATTGCATCAATGTTTATCATGTGTTGTCACATGGTTATGTTCAACCTGTGTTGAGTGATACAGAGTGTTGAAGCTGAAGTTCCAAAGTCCATAAGCAGCACTTTGTCGCAAGCTTATGCTAGCTAATCTTTCTAGCCATTGCTCATACCTACTCACCAAGAGAATAAGAATATCTGGATATAAGTATGATAGTAAGGCAGATTTTACAGATATCAATAAATCCATATAATATATATATATATATATATATATATATATATATATATATATACACAGATGAATCTTGGAAATTATGTCAAATATATAGATAGCCTAAGGGCACATAGTTTTTGGGATGGAATTTGGACTAAATTATTACGTGGTGTGTGGTTTACACTGTACGGATTAAATTCAACCCATAATTGTTATTTATGATTGGGAGTTCATATGGGTCATAGTTAAACTCTCCATAACGTTTGTTTCACTTGGCAACTTTTGGCATTATAGATGTACATTACCAATTTTGCCCTCATCTGCTACAAACGATTTCTTAGGGCTACACGAGGAAAGTCTCAATTTTGCTAAAACTCAAAGCATAAACAGCGCCAATCCTCGTTAAGGCTAAAAATTTGAATCAAAACTAGTATCTCCAATGCATCAATTTGATAAGAAGCTATTTATATATGTGGACAAAATAATTCATTGATTAAGAAACAATAAAAAATTTAACCAAGTATGAAATGAATTGATGAGTCATCATGTTTGGTGTTAGATAAATTTGTGGTATATTTATTCTTACATTGATTTGAAATATTCATACTAATAGGAAAAAGTACAAATTGGATGTAAACTTATAACTATTACCAACATTAACTATCAGAATTAAAATGAGAAATAAATGTGTTGTATGTTAAACTATTATTAACTTACTGCATGAAAGGGAATACAATGATGATTGTAACAGATATTTTCAATCAATGAATATTAAAATGAGTTAGATAATCTCAATTGAATACCCCAAGACTTTTAAAAGTCATAAAAAGTCTTAACAAATCTAAACTAAATACACCAAAATTTCTAAAGTCTCAAAAAGTCTTTAGAAATCTCAATTGAATACACCCTTAAAAGTCTCAAATCCTAAAAAATGTTAGAATGTATGTTCTATTTCATAGCATTGTTAAAATGTTATGTAGGTATAATTATACATGTTACATTCATACACCGATATGTTATAATATAATATGCGTTTAAAATAAAAACATCATTTCATACATAATTTTTTCTTTACAAAAATTTTATCAAAAAATGGAAAAAAAAATCATAGACTTTTTAATCTCATAAAACTATAAAAGTACATTTTCATAACTATATTATTCTTATAAATAAATAAATAAGTAATATTGAATAGTATTTATCGTATGTGATTATATTAGTTGTAGCCTAACAAATAAGATATTTTGATAACGTCGTACACAAAAATAACGCAATACATATAATGTGCTCTAATTATTTTAACAAAATAAAATATTATTTATGAATATAATAAGAAACAAATAAAACAATAGTAATGCAATGGGAAAAGAAAAGGTCTGAATTTTCTAAAACGAACATGAATACCAGTATATAGAAACAAAAGTCTTTTAAAATTACTACTCTTTTTGTTTTGCTAGCTTTTAATTATATTTATTCTGTAATAATTAAAAAATCCTATACTATTAATTTCGAATTTCAAATAATTAAAAAATTACAAATTTTGTAATACAAAATATAGATTTTAATAATGACTTCGTAATAATAAAGTTTCACATATGACTAAGAGTATCATAAGATAATAAAATTCTAGTTCTTCTCCTCTCAATTATTTTAACAAATGATATGATTCTAATATTGTCTCATTATTTTGTTTATTTTTGTTTTGTCATTGTTGAAAAATCAAGAAAGAATCTTTATCTTGATTTTCGAAATATTATGTATGATGCAAAAAATTGGACAATAAAAGCTTAAAAAAGTTATTAAGCATAAATGTTGCAAATTCATACGAATGTTCAAAAGAGAATGTCATAGCCTGATCAAAACATTTTTAAATGTTAGAATGAAGTTGCCACTCTTTTATAGGAATATTAACAATCTCATTAGTATATTATGCTCGAACATATGTGCATTACTTTAGAGTACGTACTTTCATGTAATTTGATTTCAAATAATAATTTAGCAACTCAAGAAAATACATGTAACAAAGATTTTGAAAAATCAACTTTTGTTTGGAAAAATCATTCTTATCCTGTGAGGCGATGCCTCCATGTGGTAGGTACCAATTTGTCTACAGGGAGAGAAAATAATGAAATAATTTATACATGATAAAAATGAAAAATAAAAGAAATAATATCGGCAATTTTAATGACGCGTTTAGTTATTTCACAGAGATATTCATGAAGCGTTAGTAGAAAAACCTTACAAAAATCATACATCAATGAATTTAACTACATGTTTGGCCAAAATATTTCTAGGAGCTTGACGTTGACAAATGAATTAAGAAAAATTTTGCAATACTATTAATGTATTAGGCTCCAACGGGTATAAATATTTATGAAAACGCCAAAACCAAAATGACAAAAAAAAAAA